TCTGCCTTGTGTACATTATTGATAATAATATTTTAGGATTAGATCTAAAAAATCATGGTTATTCCTAATGTAGTGCCTATTTATCTAAAGAAGATTATATATTTTTTTTTATTMTGTAGATGAATGATTGGAATTCATGTGAAATGATATGTTCTTCACTGCTAAAAGATACAAGAAATGATTTAGCACTGTTGATAGTAGCTGATTTGTCATTTAGACGATGTGATTTTGTAACAGCTAAGAAACATTTTTATAAACTTTTGGAAAAGCAACCTACGAATTGGGCAGCATTAGCTCGGCTGATAGAAGTTTGCCGTAGAACTGATTGTTTGGAAGAAGTAAAGACATCTATGGCAGTAGCAAATAAGAATACTGCCCAAGCTGGGTTTCATTTCTGTTATGGTTTATATTGTTGGTACGCATCAAACATCAATGATGCAATGAAGCATTTCAATTTGGCCAAAAACGATGCTGAATGGGGACAACAAGCACTGCACAACATGATTCAGATTTGTTTGGATGAAGCCACATTAAATTTAAACTTGGCCAATAAATTGATAACAGTATGTACAATAATAAAATATTAGCAGTTTTGCAATATTAAGTTTAGATGTTATAAATGTATTTATTTCTAGGAGATGAAACCAAATACCCCAGAAGAACTAAAAAATCATACGTTGTTGTCAACTTATGTATTATTAGAGTCCAAAGAAAAATCATCTGTAGAAAAAGCAATAAATATTTTTAATGAATTGTCACAAGAGTCTTGCAAGTAATAAAACGTTAAATTGTGTTCATAAAATGTTTATAAAAATATATTGTACTTGCAGAATTGCTGCTTCGTTAGGGTTGGCAATTGCTTTTGTTTATCAAAAACAAGCACAAAGAGCTAAGACAATTTTAAAAAGAGTTGCATTAAAAGCTACCTGGCAATTTGAAGAAGCTGAATATTTGGAACGCAGTTGGTTAMTCATGGCAGAATTATATTTTCAGTCCGGAAAGACCAATATATGTGTGGAATTGGTTAATAAAGTTCTTGTCTATAATAAATCATCAATAAAAGGTTTAGAACTTTTAAGTGCTGTGGCCGAAAAAGAACAGAAATATGGTATATTAATACATTTTATAGTAAATTATATGCACATTTAAATTTCTAAAATGTTTTACTTAAATTTAGACGATGCTGTGGATTATTATGAACGTGCTTGGGCATTAAGTGGACAAAAGTATTTTAAAATCGGATACAAGCTAGCTGTAAATTTGTATAAATTAAAGCTATTCACAAGATCTGTTGAAATATGCTTTGATTTAAACCCTTCAAGTCCAGACCAAGTTAAATTGAAAAAAGATATTATGGACAAAGCAAGACTATCATTAAGATCACGATAACTGATTGTGTTAAAAGTTAATCTGTTTTATTACGTTCATTTTTCACTCAAACCAAATTAACTGAATAAGTAAATTACCAAATATTATAATAAAAATTTAGTAAATTTCATAAACAAATGACTATATCTTTAACAAATAATTTTAATATATTTTTGTCATCTCCTATTTGATTTTGAATTTTGATGTATTGATTTCGCTAGAATCACACACACACACACATTTTTAAAATCGAATATACGATTAAAAAAAAATATATATAAATATCATTATGCCCATTAATAATGGCAACCCAATTATTATTAACTAATTTTACCCTGTTTTGCATATTTTATATGTTACCTATGATTTTCATAATATTTAACAAGTGA